GAGTTATGGAGTTTAGAATCTCAGCCTTGGGACATTTCGTAATTTTTTTGAATTTCTACAGAATCATAACACAAAAAAATTACAAAAAAATTAAAAAAAAATAAATTTCTAAACTTGAATGCAGATTTTTAGAGAATTGCGCCATGAACATTTAGACGTATGCCACTTCAAAATCCGATCAAGATTAGTTGAGTTATGGAGTTTAGAACTTCAGCCTTAGGACATTTTTTAATTTCTTTGATTTTCTACATCATGACATCAAAAAAATGACAAAAAATATTTAAAAAAATAAATTTTTAAATTTGAATGCAGATTTTTAGAGAATTGCGCCAGAAACATTTAGAGGTATGCCACTTCAAAATCCGATCAAGATTAGTTGAGTTATGGAGTTTAGAACTTCAGCCTTGGAACATTTCGTAATTTTTTTGAATTTCAACAGAATCATCACATCAAAAAAATTACAAAAAATTTAAAAAAAAATTAATTTCTAAATTTGAATGCAGATTTTTAGAGAATTGCGCCAGAAACATTTAGAGGTATGCCACTTCAAAATCCGATCAAGATTAGTTGAGTTATGGAGTTTAGAACTTCAGCCTTAGGACATTTTTTAATTTCTTTGATTTTCTACATCATGACATCAAAAAAATGACAAAAAATATTAAAAAAAATAAATTTTTAAATTTGAATGCAGATTTTTAGAGAATTGCGCCAGAAACATTTAGAGGTATGCCACTTCAAAATCCGATTAATATAAGTTGAGTTATGGAGTTTAGAACTTCAGCCTTGGAACATTTCGTAATTTTTTTGAATTTCAACAGAATCATCACATCAAAAAAATTACAAAAAATTTAAAAAAAAATTAATTTCTAAATTTGAATGCAGATTTTTAGAGAATTGCGCCAGAAACATTTAGAGGTATGCCACTTCAAAATCCGATCAAGATTAGTTGAGTTATGGAGTTTAGAACTTCAGCCTTAGGACATTTTTTAATTTCTTTGATTTTCTACATCATGACATCAAAAAAATGACAAAAAATATTAAAAAAAATAAATTTTTAAATTTGAATGCAGATTTTTAGAGAATTGCGCCAGAAACATTTAGAGGTATGCCACTTCAAAATCCGATTAATATAAGTTGAGTTATGGAGTTTAGAACTTCAGCCTTGGAACATTTCGTAATTTTTTTGAATTTCAACAGAATCATCACATCAAAAAAATTACAAAAAATTTAAAAAAAAATTAATTTCTAAATTTGAATGCAGATTTTTAGAGAATTGCGCCAGAAACATTTAGAGGTATGCCACTTCAAAATCCGATCAAGATTAGTTGAGTTATGGAGTTTAGAACTTCAGCCTTAGGACATTTTTTAATTTCTTTGATTTTCTACATCATGACATCAAAAAAATGACAAAAAATATTACAAAAAATAAATTTTTAAATTTGAATGCAGATTTTTAGAGAATTGCGCCAGAAACATTTAGAGGTATGCCACTTCAAAATCCGATTAATATAAGTTGAGTTATGGAGTTTAGAACTTCAGCCTTGGAACATTTCGTAATTTTTTTGAATTTCAACAGAATCATCACATCAAAAAAATTACAAAAAATTTAAAAAAAAATTAATTTCTAAATTTGAATGCAGATTTTTAGAGAATTGCGCCAGAAACATTTAGAGGTATGCCACTTCAAAATCCGATCAAGATTAGTTGAGTTATGGAGTTTAGAACTTCAGCCTTAGGACATTTTTTAATTTCTTTGATTTTCTACATCATGACATCAAAAAAATGACAAAAAATATTACAAAAAATAAATTTTTAAATTTGAATGCAGATTTTTAGAGAATTGCGCCAGAAACATTTAGAGGTATGCCACTTCAAAATCCGATTAATATAAGTTGAGTTATGGAGTTTAGAACTTCAGCCTTGGAACATTTCGTAATTTTGTTGAATTTCAACAGAATCAAAAAAATTACAAAAAATTTAAAAAAAAATTAATTTCTAAATTTGAATGCAGATTTTTAGAGAATTGCGCCAGAAACATTTAGAGGTATGCCACTTCAAAATCCGATTAAGATTAGTTGAGTTGTGGAGCTTAGATCTTCAGCCTTGGGACATTTCTTAATTGTTTTGAATTTCTACATCATACATCAGAAAAATTACAAAAAAATTACAAAAAAATAGATTTCTAAATTTGAATGCAGATTTTTAGAGAATTGCGCCAGAAACATTTAAAGGTATGCCACTTCAAAATCCGATTAAGATTAGTTGAGTTATGGAGCTTAGATCTTCAGCCTTGGGACATTTCTTAATTTTTTTGAATTTCTACATCATACATCAGAAAAATTACAAAAAAAATTGATTTCTTAATTTGAATGCAGATTTTTAGAGAATTGCGCCAGAAACATTTAGAGGTATGCCACTTCAAAATCCGATTAATATAAGTTGAGTTATGGAGTTTAGAACTTCAGCCTTCGGAGATTTCTTAATTGTTTTGAAGAAAAAAAAATTTAACGCGTATTCCAAGACAAATAAGTCAGATATAAAACTTTATAACTCTCCGCTCGGTTTCATTAAATTTCATAAATTTTTTCAAGAAGGAAATACGTTAAAATTTCTTTGTTTGTATCCAGTGGCGTAAAAAAACCAATACGTACAATCGTTCTGAAAATAATCATTTGGAGATATTTGCGTATCTGCCTAGTTCGAATAATATCTGTTATACAAGCTAAACTTATCTGTTTTGTGATAGTTGCTACATCGATTGCAATGGGAACCTTGGGCAACCAGTTCATCCTGTCGCGAGAGCGTCGTCGCTTCGGGAGGCAGTGCCTCTTCACGGACCGCAATGAGATGATCCTCAGCGTGCAGCCGAGTGGACGGCTGCGCCTTAAGTACATCCTACGCAATCCGATAAACGAACGGACGCAGCTGAGCGAGCAGTATGCGGCCTCCTCGGCTTTGACCCACAACGTGACCCTGGATTCCCATGGCTTAAATCACTACGAAGGCGGCTGGAATGTCAAGGAGGTGAACCTTTTGGATGAAGAGTCCACAATGCGCTATCGCAAAAAGGTCGAGCGCGATGACTCCTGGGGCATCGAGGTGAACAATTTGATGCGCGAAGCAATAGACATCAGTTCGGCCAATAATGCAATAAACATTTACGAGGACTTCTTTGTGGATCTACCAAGCGACTTGGGTCATGGGATCAGCATGAGAATCGCGGCCAGGCTTCTGTATGTTTTTCATGATCTGTGGATCCCATCGCGCCAGCTAAAGACATGCGAATGGCTGAACAACGACCCCAATCTGTTTGTCCTGTTTTTTACCAACCCAATGAGCCTGACACCGGGCTACACCAAGCAGCTGAACACCCTGCCCGATTTTGGCAACGACAATCCGAATGCATTCTACGTTTGGAACTTGGATGATGCCACCCGACCGGTGTGGCACTACGATGCCATGCGAGTCGTGCGGATCGCCAAGGTGTGCATGCGGGATGAGAGTTACATGGTGGGTGGACTCCAGGAGGGTCAGGTGGGCTTCTGGCAAACCGATAGCCAGGGTGGTCCCAAAAGCATGTGCCCTCTGGAGGCATGTCATCGCGAGGCCACCACGGCCATCTGCTGGGTGCACTCGAAGCTCAACACGGAGTTTTACTCTGGATCGTTGGATGGGTCCATCAAGTACTGGGATACCCGGAACCTTCTAATGCCCGTGCATGAGGTACTGGCCGAACCGGACCCCCAGTCGGTTCAAAATCGCCAAAATGCACATGGCGTTACGTTCCTCGAGTTCGAGTACACCATCCCAGTGCGCTACATGATCTGCACTGATATGGGTTACTTGTTCGTCGGAAATCGCAAGGGCACGACTCCGCAGGAAACTATCGTTGCCGCCTATCAAATTTGTGTCGGTCCGATTCGCTGCATAATGCGTAATCCGTTCTTTGTCAAGAACTTCCTGGTGGTGGGCGATTGGCGGGTGCGGATCTGGTCGGAGGAGGTGAAGAACTGCCCCAGTACCTTCTACATTCGCCGGCCAAACCAGGTGTTGAGCGGTGCATGGAGCACGGGACGCTGCTCGTTGTTCTGCATCGGTGACGACAAGGGCAACTTGGAGTTTTGGGACCTGCTCATGTCACACACTCGACCAATTCTTACCATCAAATACAAGTACGCCGTCACCCATTTGGTATTCAAGCCGGATGGCTGCTTACTAACCGTGAGCCTGGCCAACGGCGATTGCCTGATGCTCCGCCTGGAGGAGGGTATGCGAACTGCCACAGTCAAGGAGAAGTCCCTCATGATGTCGGTGAGTGGTCAGAATCATAATCAGAGAAGCCAATCTTCTCTTATTTATTTCTTCAAAGAGCAGATGTTTGAACGGGAGATACAGCGTTGCAAGCTTCTGGAGGCTCGCGAAGAAGAGATGAAGTTGAAGAAGCGCCTGACCACCATTTTCATGGAGGAGGAACGCAAGTCCCGGGAAAAGCTGGAGGCCAAGAAGAAGAAGGGCCAGGCCAAGCGGGAGATGGAGCCCAAGGCCGAGGACGAGGCGACCATTTTCCTCAGGATGATCGAGAGCGATGTGGAGTTCAGCAAGGCTCTTCTGGAGTTCAACGAAGCCATGGAAAACATCACCTTGCAGCGAGCCAAGCGCACTTTCGACATGCAGCGCACTGTATTCGAAACGAACCAGTTTGTCTCTCAGGAATAAAGGGGGTATATATTTTTGAGTTCCCTATTATACCTTGTAGCATTTTCTTACAGCATTGTATTGCCCATGTACGCATTTCAATAAAAGCAATGTGAAAAAATATAGAGCTCTTCAGTTCCATTGGCTGACTATATTAGGCGTAATATATCCACATAGTTGAAGATATCGGTAAAGGGTTCATAAGATTTTTGTAAGCTGAGTAACAGGCACCTGTTTTGTTCGTATTTTCAAGCATGCTATGGAACTGTTATAAATGTTCAGAAAACGGAGGCCAAGCTAAATACATCAACCAAAAACAAAGGGCAGTCAGTCCAAGGCAGTCGGGCAGTTTTCATACAGTTTTGTTTCACTTGTTAAATCCCAGACTCTGGAAGCGGCAGCAACAGAATGGCTGACAACTCCAAGGATATGGAACATGCCAGCAGCTGGTACTCAAGCCTCTACAATTCCATTAAACAAACGCCCATCAATGTTACCGTTCTGATTATATCGACCATCGTGTTCTACAAGGTGGTGAGTTTTAGCCGACGTCGGAGTCAACGTCGTCAGGATCAGAAGGGCAAGACACCTGGCTCAATAGACTTAAGTGAGCATGATGGACAGGGGAAACAGGATGTGGATCTTCTGCCTCTGCGGCAGGACTTTACGGTTCCGGAACTTCGGGAATATAACGGCACACGGGCGGACGGTCGCATTCTGGTGGCCATCAACTTTAATATCTATGATGTGTCGCGATCTACACACTATTATGGTCGAAATGGCGCTAATCCATTATTTGCCGGTCGGGATATTTCGCGGATTTTGCTCAATTTACCGGTGAACTTGAAAGCGAGCGAGGATTTTGATGATTTGAGTGACCTCTCAAGCCGCCAAATGAACACATTGCAGGAGTGGGAGCAGCAGTACAAGGAGAAGTACCCATTTGTTGGAAAACTTACAGAGAAACACATAAATTATACCGACGAGGAGGATTTGGAAGTAGAGCCAGCTGTTCCGCTAGTGTGACTTTCTATGTGACTTTCTTTTCAAATAATGTGCGCATTGATCCAATAATTGTAGCACCCTTAATAAAAAGAACGTAGGCGGAAAAAAACGTTACTTGTATAGCTTTTAAAATTTACTTTTTTGCATTGAAAATTTGAGAAAAAAGCAAAAAAAAAACTGAAAAAAAATTAGGTAGAAAAGCTGCACAGAAACAGGCATCCTCTTATATTAATTTTTGAATTCTGTGCGCCTAACAGCCCGCAGTTAACAGCACGCCATCGGCACGTGGTGGTATTTTCTAAGCCTTTTCGTCCGCCCGTGGCAGCCACACTAATTTGGCTCTGCTTTTCGTTTCCACTTCCGTTTTCTTTTCTTTTCGTGTTTCTACGCCAGCAAGATGAAGTACGTTATTGAAAATCGTTGAAATGCTCGGTTAATTGTGGATTTCTGCATTTCCTAACCCCATTTCGGAAATTGTAAACAGTGCCCCAACTAATGCGAATGTTTGTATTTATAGAATTGGCTTGTGCGCATTCAGCGGGTACAAAATCTACCCCGGTCATGGCAAGACCATGGTCAAGATTGATGGCAAGGTGAGTTTCCGGCGCAGATGCTCTACCCATGGAGGACGGATGATGAAGTTTGATTACTCTTGCAGTCCTTCACCTTCCTGGACAAGAAGTGCGAGCGCTCTTACCTGATGAAGCGCAATCCCCGCAAGGTTACGTGGACCGTGCTGTACCGCCGGAAGCACCGCAAGGGAATCGAGGAGGAGGCCTCCAAGAAGCGCACTCGCCGCACCCAGAAGTTCCAGCGCGCCATCGTCGGCGCCTCGCTGGCCGAGATCATGGCCAAGCGCAACATGAAGCCGGAGGTGCGCAAGGCGCAGCGCGACCAGGCCATCAAGGTGGCCAAGGAGCAGAAGCGTGCCGTCAAGGCCGCCAAGAAGGCTGCTGCCCCCGCTCCCGCCAAGAAGTCGGCTCCCAAGCAGAAGGCCGCTAAGGTCACTCAGAAGGCTGCTCCCCGCGTCGGAGGCAAGCGGTAAACACCTGTCGCCGGTAGTGATGTGCTAAAGTTAGTCCAGGATTTAAGGAACCACTCGTGAATTGAAAATTAAACAAACGCCGCGAATGCGAATTCGTGGTGACAAAAAAAAAACCCTGTCGCGTGTTTTTTTATCAAGCTTGGCTTGCAGTGTGGAAACTACACAAAAAAGGAATACCGTGTGCGTCATGAATCATTGAGTTAACTTTACCCATCAGTTTTGACCAGGTGCCGTAGTTTTAAATTGTCAAACTTATTAAAAGGCCTTCATAGCTGAGATTTAAGCATAGACCTTTATTTTCTCAGACATCAGGAATATATGAACACTTGAATATCCGAAGTGTGGTTTAAAGGTCGCGGAAAAAATATTTGCAGTTCCCAAAATTGCGTATTAAAAAATTACTTTATTAAAAGCACAAACCACGATAGCTCCACAGCAGTTAGTTTTCTTACATTTATTTATGAAACATACAAAATTAATAGGATATAACCACTTAAATACTTATCGATTCCGGTTTCCACCATAATTACGATGATTCCGTTTAATATTTTGTAGAAAATGTGAATAATTGAAATTTGTCTTGCAATGTGAGATAAGTCATTATATTAGTGCATCCTAAAGTAGTCTTGACAAGTTAATCAATGAGCGATCCCTAAATAAATTCAGTACTGTATTTTTTTAGGCCAATAAAGTTTGTGAGCCTGCCTATAGCATTGCCATGCACTTGAACGTAGGTTTGCAAGGGATCGTAGAGCTCCGTGACTGGCTGCTCGTCACCGTCTTCATGTTCATCATCCAGCAGCGATTCCACGTGCACTTTGTGAGGTCGCATCTCCATTAATTGTATGCAACCGAGATCGTGCAGGAGCTCCAGCAGGAACATGACGTCCACAGGCACCAAGTGCAAGAACCTGAGAAACAAGCTATGCACGGTGCAGCCGACGCGAGAGATGCACTCGCTGAGAACGGCGCCCAGCCAGCGATCGAGGACGCGTCGATTGAGGGATGCATTTACCCGGATCCAAGGCTGCGGGCGCATGGCAATTGCATCCCGTGAAGCCTCCAGCGTGCTATTAGCCACTTCGATGGAGGGTTCCTTTCGTGTATTCCTCTTTGGCCGCTTGGCAGCGGATCCTCCCGCCTCGTCACTCTCACTCTCTGTGCTTAGTTGCTCCATGAGTTTCACCCTCTTTTCTGGAACAGAGGTAGCCGTCTCCTGAGCCTCCAATTTGCGCTTGTGACCAACGACGGCTAGGAGTGTTCCAGGTGCCGCCGCCACCATGGGCTGCACTTTTTCTCGCTCCAATCTCTTGATGTGGAACGTGTGCACCACCCAATTGCGGATGTGGTTTTTATGAACATACATGACACTAACTATGCCCACTCGCTTGATAAGATTGTGGTCAGCTAGTAGATGAAGAGTTTCCAACAGGAAATCTCCCACGGGAAATATACTCCTCAACTCCAGGCCCTTCACACCGAGGGAATGCTTTTCGATGTGGTTGAGTATGTCTTCCATGTGGCGGATTTTACGGTCATCGAATCCACTCTCGTGCAGTTTAGGCGTAAGGCTTTCAAAGCTGTTCTCCGTGTACTGCCAGTAGGCAGTTCTGTAAGTAAACAAAAAAAAATGGTTAGGGCTAATAACCCAAGAAAGATTCTAGTTGAGACATACTTAAGGACCTTGTCGAGGACTGAAGTACGCAGGCTGTCAATTGCCTGCTTTGTTTCTGGCTGCTCAATAACCTTCATTCCAATTGTGGGTAAGTGAACTACAAACACATCCTGCGCTCGGGCACGCTCTTCCTTGTTTAGTGCGGGTTCGTACTCCTGAACACGATCCGCCTCCCATGCATGTGGCTCATCGTCAAGCAGCTCAGCGCAAATGGAACGCCAGTCGGTGAGCTTGTGTTGTGTTCGTTCCGCTAGCGTCTTGCCCAGATCCTTAAGCTCTGTCGTTTGTTGTCTTTGTCGCCAGAACGCCTCCAGTTGCTGGGCAAACGGCAGAAGAATCGCGTTAGTCACTGTGAGGGGTGTTCCCGCTGGATGCGATTCCAGCACAAACTGCTGCGATGGTAAAGCATCGGCCACCAGTTGCCGGAGAATGGGTCGCTGCTCGTGGGCAATCCGCTCGACGGCGTTTAAATAGTTGCCACTGCGCATAATACAGTTGGCGAAGGGGCAGTCGAACTGCTCCAAACGCGACTGACTTAAAGTGATGGCCTCACCCAAGGCATCTAATGCACAGAAGAAATGCATAGCACGCAACTGCAGTTTGGAGAGCTGATTATAAACACTAGTTGGGAGTCGAAAGCTCAGGTTGGCCGGATGAAATCGCACACGCGACGCTTGGCGTCCACTGCACTCACCCTCCAAACGCTTAGAGTACTCGGTTTGTGGGGCGTTGTCGAAGATGCAGCTGTAATGATCCAGAATTCGATCTGAGTGGCAACCACTCTGCCTGCCCACGGTGGTAGTGTCTACGGTCAGGATATTTGTGGGAAGTTGTAGTGAAAGACGTAGCCTGTTTTCCAACAGCCACTCGCCGATCACTAAGAGTTGGCCGAAATGTGGCGAGGATAGCTGCTGCTCCTGGTCTGCCCGCAGCTTCTGGTCCAAAGCAAAGAAGCTGTCGTAGAGGAAGTGCGTCAGCTTGGTGTAGATTAGGCGGTACTTGTACTTTGAGCTCAACAAATGACCAGGTCCAGAGATTTGGCGGCTGGCAGCTGACTGAATGTTTCGCCTCTTCACCGCAACTAGCAACGAATCTGCGCGCGCTTTATTGAAGGCTGAGTTTAGCACTTCCTCGGAGAAGTGCTTGTAGATCTCGAAAGTTTGCAGGTTTAGCAGCGTCTTGTCCTTGGCACAGCAGATGTTGCTGTGCAACACGCCATGAGCTACGGCCACCTGTAGATCCGTCTCCGAAGCGGGGTCCTGGAAAAGTAGTTGCTGCTCCTCGTGCGCCGATCGACACTCGCGTAGTTGGCTACCAAAGGCATCCAAGGAGTCGGGCAGCAAAAACTGGCGACTAACAGATCCTTGCTAGATATGAGAAAGATTTAAGTATACGTACAACAGGTGCTTCTTGTATTTAACTTACAGATTTCGCGATCATTCGCTGCAGTTTGGCCATCATAAGGGCAAAGTGAGTCATCAGCGCGCTTTGAAAATCGGTCTTGTTGGGATAATCCCGCTTCAGCTGGCTCAGAAATAGTTCGTTGTACACAGTGGTGAACTGTGGCTGCGTTTGCATTGCGTAGATCCAGCTGGGAACGTCCGGTATGTCGCGCTTCATCTTCACCATAAACTGAACGCGGCGCACGCAGGCCTGCGTTGTCTTGTTGCAGATGCCCAGCCAGCGGCGAATCAAATCGCGACAGACGACTGCCAGGTCGCACAAGGCCAAGGTCATTGTTGGTGCATCAATGAACATGTAGACGGCCCGGCCCATCTTCAGCAAACGATCTTCCTCTGGCGCCCATTTGACGCGCAATGTTCGCATATTCCGCAGCGCATCCCGGTCAATATCGTCTCGGGGGCCGGAGGACTTCTTTAATGTTTTGCCGGAAGATAGCTCGCGTGCTTTGCGTACCGCTAGTCGGGGACCAATCTTCAGGCGCGTAATTACAGCTCGCTTCCGGACTGTTCTCTTTGCCTTTTCCCTTGCTGCATTTGACTTTCCACCATTCTGGCGCTGCACCCACGACCAGTGGCGAAACTGATGGGCAAACAAATGGGAGCTCAATCCAGCGGCTCCGAGGTGATCTCCAGGAACTGTTCCGTTGTCAAGCTCAATGGCCTGATTGAACTCCACCGTAGGCTGGAAGACTAGGACCTTCAAGCGCGCCGGAATACTTCTCTGCGTGCTTAACGATTTGCGGTATCCCAGCTTCGTGTAAATGCAGATGTGCTGCAACTTGGCCCAGTAGTTGCCCAGTTGTTCCACGCTGGAGAACTCGAAGTTAAGCTTTGTATATGAGCGATCCGCGCTCACTTGCATGTAGTTGTGTTCAGTGCTGGAAGTTGTATCCAGCAAACTGGTTCGCTGATTCAGGA